TATACACATATATATTATATCATCTTATGGAATTCTCCATTATTGTGAAAGTTGCCAGTTAATGTACTGTCCACACAGGTTGTGCTCAGAAAATTCTGGGTGGCATAATTCACATGATCTCTGGTTTAAATGGTATTCCCTGGACTTAAACAATACTATCAGAATAACAGTGAATACGCATCTACACAGCTCCAGTGCTATGGCCTAGTCTGACGTCAAAGGGATCTAGTTGCCTCACACACAAAGGGAAAACCTAAATGAATTAACATATCTTATTGATAACTTTATATATTAAAATATGTGAAGCTTTGGAGCTGGAGAGACAGCTCAGCAGTTAAGAGCACTGACTGCTCTTGCAGAGGACCTGGGCTGATTCCCAGCACACATATGGAACATTACAACTGCCTGTAACTCCAGTTCCAGGGGATCCAATGCCTTCTTCCCTCCACTGGCATCGCATGGCATGGGTGCACTAACATACACGCAGGCAACACACTCATACACTTAAAATGAATAAAATATTAAAAATATATGAAGCTTTACGTCTTCATATGATAAACTGACATACTTGTTCAACATAGGTTTTTGAAAATATGTCTTTACTAGCATAATTCTGCTCTGGGCAGGTAATTGAGTCATAAGGATCCGGGGTTATGTAACAAAGAACTTGGCGTTGTATGTGCACACATCTGTACATGTAGGGGTACACTGAAGGAAAGAAATGAAGGAGGAAAGAAGTGAAGCCTCGGACCGCGAACATGGCACACAATGAAGTTATAAGCAGAATGGTGCAATAAAAAAATTTCTTCACTGTTTTGTTGAGAAACCGAGTGTGTTTTCTTGTGGTGAACTAGGAAAAGGTAGATGCTTTTCAGTCATGGAAGTCATGGTCCCTAGACTCACCATAGTATCCAGAGATAAATGTCAGCTCTGAGGCTTTGCACCAATCAATGTATAGTTTGTTAACTGCTATAATATTCATGCCTCTGTTGCACAGGTATCTCCCAGGCCAGCTGTTGTAGCTCACAGAATTCACAGCTGGGTAAGGTTCATGATACATTTTCTCTTCGGGTGCTTGTACAGCACTTCCAGCTCTGTGAAAGCTAGACTTAGAGCTGAGGCTCTGAAGTCAGCACAGGCTCGATTTCTCCTTTGTTGAGTCTTCAGCAGTAGGGTGTTACAGTGAAGTTCTGGGGAGTGACCAAGAGCAGGGCCAGTGGCCAGTATTGTTTGAGGGTCTGTGGGATGTCCAACATGGACTTGGAGAAATATGTAAGAATCCCCAACCCTATCTGAGGAACTATTGGCAACTCATGACTGCTGGGAAGGAGAGACTTGGTCTCATTTAAGGGGGAGACTTAGGTTGACCGGGATCCAGTGGATGAGCCCACACTGAAGGGCATGTGGAGACACAAATCTGACTCTATCAGTGAATACACATTAATACTATATACACATACATATATATATATGAGAAAAGAAATGTTGTGGGGGGCTCAGAAGGGAGGGTGCAGATATGAGAGGGGCGTATGATCAAAATATATTGTATGAAATACACACACAAATGAGGACATAGATCTGACCTACTTTCCGTCCTTTGTTAGATACTTGATCTTTCCAGGGCTCAGTTCCCTTTCTTTACCCTCTGGCTACCTATAGACTTTTCCTATTACATTAAGAAATAAAGGACAGTGCTTTTCTTTTCAGTTTTTAAGTGCTTCACTCTGGTTTTCTGGATACCTTTCCTGTGACCTTTCAGGACTGTGACCTCTTTAAAATATTTTATTATTTCTGTTTTATTTGTATGAGTATTGTCTGCATGTGCGTAAGTGCACCGGTGCCATGCAATGCCTGTGGAGGACAAGAGGGTGTCAAATACCCTTGAACTGGAGTTACAGTTGTTAGCTGCATGTGGGTGCTGGGATTAGAACCCGGGTCCTCTGCAAGAATATCCAGTGTTCCCAACCACTGAGCCATTTCTCCAGCCCCCAGGTCTGGGACCTCTTTAAAGATACAGTGAGCTAGGTTCCTGGGTGCTGTTCCCAGTTCCGTTGTCTCTCCTGCTCTGAATTCCAGGAGCCTGGCTTCTGTGCCGAAGCCCTCCCTTGAGCTGGCTTTATGTTCCCAGTGTGAGAACCCGGAAGGCAGGAGGGAAAGGCTTGGCCAGGTTTCTCTTCCGCTTCTTTTCTGCATTATGCTGAGTCTGTGATCATAATCGAGGCCCTCTGTCCTGCATAGCCCACATGGGCTGCCATAGAAACTTTTCTACCTCCTCTTCCTTAGCCATTGGCATGGTGATTACCGCTGTGAACTAGACTGGGTCCTTGGCCACCCTTTGAGTTTACTTCTTCAACCTCTAGCTGTCCCTTCCCTTTCCCAAACTGACCAGTCTCATTTGTTTGTAATTTATGGATTCTTTAATTATATAATTTCAGTTTAGTGTCTCCTGAAATTAGTTATGTGTGAGTCTGTCTGCCCCACTAAATCACAACGGCAGGAATCCCTTCTTTCACTGTTGAATCCTAGCACCTAGCAGAATATCTGGCATGCAGAAGGAGCTCGGCACGTTCTTCTCAAATGTCTGAGTAGATTAACGGCACTGTTACCTCTCTAATCTCTGAAAAAGCCCAGTCACTTTAATTGTTTTGGATTGTTCCTTGCTGTCTTTCAGGAATCCTTAGCGCTTTTCTGAGTTTCTTCGCATTTTGTATACAAGACAGGAAACACACCCCCTGTTGCCATACTGAGTACTCCACATAAATCTTAGCATCAAACCACAAATGAGATGAAGCTCACTGGCTTTGGATTCTCCCTGAGCCAAGGTCACCCTTTGTGCTCATTGCCTGAGGGGATGGAGCCATCCCAATCTGGTCCACTTTTGTGCTTTCTTCCTCTCTGCCAAGCTCCGTTTGCTGCCCCGTTGCCCCACAAGTTGCCTATTTGTGTCTTTGAATTAAGTTTTGAGCAGAAGGTCCATCGCTTTTCATGACCATTGAATTATAAGACTGCATAGGAAGCATTTACCTCGAGTTTTCACCTTGTTTCCTCTCCCCCTTGGAAGAAAGGCAGCAACAGCAGTTTTGTTCTGCTTGCCCTTGGAGCTGAATAGGAGGCAGCTGCCGAGTCATAATGAGCTTAGAAGCCTTTGAATGGCAGGTGCCGGTAGAAGAAAGGCTTAATTTTTTTCATTCTCTTAAAAATAGTATTTATTAAGTATGAATAAATGTACAGTATGTCAGATCTTGGTATTTTGAATTCACTATGTCTCATAAGGAAAAACTCTTTAAATTGCACACTGAAACATTTTGCAATCAATTGTGATAATTAAATGCACAAATGCACATGTTACTTTAGTTCACAATGTGATTCCTAGTGTACAACTGACATATCAGCAGTTTCATTTCAAATATTCATGAGTGAACAAGTTTCAGCCCGTCTGTAAGTCACCTCATTTATATATAAGTTGTATTCTTTTCCAGCTAGCTCTGAAATTTTTTAAACAAATTGTCTGGTAGATACCTTCATATAGTCAAGTTTGTTAGTAAAAACTGAGTAAGGAGATTAGTTGAAGGATGGATTTTTAAAATTTTGTATGACTTCAAATGTGGATCTTTAAGCAACTAATTTTTAACGAAGACGAAAATTGGGTTATAAACTTTTGGAAGTAATATCCATATAATACATAACATCAACATGAATGTATGATTATTGACAAGTTGATGTTTAAATAGTTGATTCCAAACAAATGGTTTTGAAATATAAATTCCAAAGAGTGAAAGAACTTCTTCTAGTTCATATGCATGGAACTAGATGGGAACATACACTTTATAAATTCTGTATATAAATGAAGTGCTGAATTTAATAAACATGGGAAACAGTGCTGGTGTCTGTCTGCGTCAGATGATCACGTACACTGGTTTCTAAAGCAGTTCTCTTGGTGTGGATCTATGTGTTATTGGAATTTATGCATCTTTCATTTTGGGTGCCCTTTCAAGGGAAAACAATGCAAAATTTCAAAACAAAAATTAGAGTCTAAGAGTGCTCTAGGCAAGAGTCGGACCCTGAAGATTAGGCTTCATAACGTGAAGGAAAGCTTATCTCTTTAGGACTTGAATCATCATGGGTAGCACAAAATGTTCATTTCAAATTAAGGAAAACCTTCTGTTACCTAAACTGTATTTCACGAGTTTCAGGAAGACATTATTTGGGCCTCCATGTATCTTGAGTTATTGAAACATGCTTCCATGTTTCTGAGGCTTGTTTAAATTTTTATGTCATTAAGATGAAAATCCATATTAATTCATTGACATACTAAGCGGGGTATCTCAACTCATATTCACAAATATGAAATATTAAACTATAAAACAAAGCTTATATGTGCATGTTGTAATTAAGAACTTTCTAATTTTGTCTTAAAGTTATACAGTATATTAAAATGTACCCTTCTCACATTGTACTACTCTCAGAGACTTACCGCCCAGTGCTTCCTTGAGACTTCCTCAGTAGGATGTCGTCCCTCAGAATTAAATCACCGTGCCTGACTTTTAAAAAAGTTAAGTGTTGGGCTGGAGGGATGGCTTCGACATTAAAGGCTCTGGCTCAAAACCTAAACAAAAAATTGGTATATATTCATATTCATTGGTATATATACACACATACATGGTTGGGTTTCACGAAGGTATGTCCAAAAACACAACCTTATTCTTGTTTCATGAAGGTATGCCTTTTCCACAACCTTAATCTTGTGAATCTGAACACCTCCATGTCTTTGTTTTGTATCTCATTTCACTCTCAGCTTAATTTGCAAGATGACAATTAAGGCATGTATAGATAGATAGATAGATAGATAGATAGATAGATAGATAGATAGATAGATAATGTCAGAGTAGATTGAGTCTCCTGTTTGTCATTTAAAGATCGTTGAATAGAAGTGTATGAATATGTGAAATAGTGTGATGAAATGATATAAGAAATCAATGTGTGTGTCTCTTACTCTAAAGCGACATGCCAGTTTCAAGGACGAGCCTACTTTGAAGGACAGAGGAATACAGTGTACTCATCTTCAGGAATGTGTGTTCTGTATGAATGCAAGGTAAGCAGACTCGTCAGGGGTCATCCAGAATTGCCTCAATTATGTAAGCACTGTAAATGCTTCTTTAAAAGCTAAAGCTCACCCTAACAACATAGTCCTTCCAAGTCTATGGCACAGACAAAAATCTAAATAATATATATAGTTCAAATCTAAGAAATCTCCATTATTGTCTCAAGTGTGTTAGTGCTTATAAAATAATTTTGCAATGAACTAAAATGTTCTTTGGTGAATTAGTTTTATGATATTTTGAAATTTCTCAAATTCAAATCAGCTCCTTGTTTGCCGTTATGAGGAAAATGTGAGTGGAGACAGGCCTAGCTAGTCTCTGGTAATGCTGACTCTGGTGAGGAGTATCACTCAGTTCATTTAAAAACAAAACAAAATTACCTAACAAGCGTTAATTGTTCCCTCTCATGGAAAGAGCAGGAAATGTAACAGTAAGATCAAGAGACAGAACGTTATAGTTTATAAAAGTAAATGAAGTGTTGTAAAACAATTTTCATTTTTTTCAAGTAGTATTTCATTTTTCTCAAGTAATATTTCAAAGAGTAGAGTTAAAAATAAAATACTGGACCAATCAAAATTGATTTTCCACTTGACCTTTAATTTTCATTTTAAATATCCCTTGTATATGGATTTGAGGATATAAAGACTATGTAAAATATTATAATAAAGTGTTTTAATCTGATTGTATAAATAAAGTATGAGCATCTATATAATTATTAAGAGTTGGGGAAAGGAAAATCCTCAGGGTTTGGCCAGGATAAATGAAATCTCCAGAAAGATCTATTTCATGCATATTGATCTGAAAGTATTAGAAAATAAACAAGGCAAAGCTGACAGATTTCAGTTCTAGAAGGGGAAGACTCTGGCTCATTTTATTATACTGGAAACACTTCCTTTGGTTTTAAACCAGTGTTCTTACAATGTAGGTCAGATCTTAAGAAAATCAAGCCACAGGAGCATGCAAATGGACCTGGGCCTCTGTTTCTAGCTGAGGCTTTCTGTAAGTGCCTTTACCCCAAAGTGGGTTCTAGTTATGTCCCACTGTAGGAAACTGGGCAGTTAGTTTCTAAGGGTGATCTCTAATTTTGAAACAAATGCTGTATATGCTAAACATTTAGAACATTTGCAGTCCCTAACTCAGTGTGTATAGGTTTGATAACATTTTGCCACACATAGTTACTCGAACAGTTGCTCATTTCATCACAAATGTGTTCAGTATACATGAAATAAATAGTACACTTTATTCTATTTTTGTTTTTGAGCCAAGGTCTCTCTTGTAGACCTAGCTGGCCTAGAACTCACCATGTAGACCAGGCTGGCCTTGATCTCAGAGATCTGCTTGCCTCTGCCTTCTGAGTGTTGGGATTAAAGGCATGTGCCACCCTGCCTAGCCTGGAACCTTTTAATTTTTAAACAAAAGGCAATGTGCCCTCCCACTGTCTCAGTGCTTCGCTGCCCAACAGTAATGTGAGCCAAAAATACAATTTTTTGGCTCAATTTTCTATATCTGGTCCCTATATCTAAAGCATCATTTCAACATGAAATCGTTATAAAAAATTCTTCTAACCATGTGGTTGTTAATAATTTTAAAAATTATTCGTAAGTATTTTCCGTCCTTTTACAATACTTGATCCTAAAAATCTTGCATTTCCAATCACATCGTTGAAGACCATATGTAGCTAGTGGCTGCAGATTGGACAGCTCAGTCCTATCAGCCCATCTTGAACTTCTGTAGTTCTTAACTACATTCTTGACATTAAGGACTTCCTTTCTTCATCTCAGGCCCTTAGGTCCTGTATTCACAGTTTTAAGTGCCTGCTAGATTTTTCATGCTTCCATTCTCCAGGTTGTCTATTCTAGCGACCATTTCTTCTTTTATTGTTAGTTTTGTGGACTTGAAAGTAGACCCTAGGGTTTGTGACGTTAGTGGTAGCACGGAACAGTTTATGGTTTTGAAAGTAAGTCAGAGCTGCTCTGTCAGACCAGAGGAAGGTTGGCCTTCATCCATTTTTACATTTCAGCCACTTTCCTCATAAGAGATTAGGGTTTGCATGTGGAAGGTAGGAGTTACTTATTTCTTTATGGAAGCAGTATTTACTGCACTGGTATATAAAAGTCTAATCTATTGAGCAGTAGTTAAAGTGGAGGCCTATAAACTTCAAGGCATACCATACTATGTCTGGTGGTAAGCAGATGGAGCACCATTCAGGACCCTTGTTAAAAGGTGAATGCTAGGAGTCAGGTGTTTGCATCTTGGGCATGGCTGTTCCAGGATCAACATATTTTCTATTTTGATTTCTCCTTGAGAGTACTTCATTTATTTCAGTTGCTAGCTCCATAATGATTTACATTAATTTGTTCATTCATTCAAAAGCGCCGACTAGTGCCAGAAAATGTACTAAACAATCTGCAAAACACAAATCTGACCTTCATTTTCCCTTCAGTTTTGAGTGTGAGCATCAGTATCTTTTACCAAAATCACTTGTAAGACTGGGGACCCTTTTTCATTTTGGTTTTTGAGACAGGTTCTTCCTGTAGCCCTAACTGGCCTGACACTTGCTATCCGACCAGGCTGGCCTCAACCTTACTGTAATTGCCCTGCCTCTTACTCCCAAGTGCTGGAATTAAAGATGTGTGCCACCAGGCCCAGTGAGAGAACTTTTAAAGAAAACTGACATGACCACATATAAAAAGTTCAGTTTCATTTATAGCAAGCTGTTGCTCCAATTCAAGCTCTGTCTTTGCTTTGTCACAGGGTTTACAAATATGTTGTAAGAATAACAATTTCAGGGTTGCATAGGTGTTTGGTCTGTTGTAGGCACAGATGCAGTGTGCTGGGCTTTGCTTCCCAGTGCTTTCCAGTGAGATGTACTGTCATTTGGCGGATGAGCCCATGACCCTGGCAGAGGTTCCCTGGATGAAAATTTCCCTGGCGTATTAGAGGCTTGTCAGATGCTATCTACATAACTTCTTGGTTAAGTCCTAATAATGAAATTCCAGGCATCTCCTTTCTGTCATCTAACAGGATCAGACCATGAAGCTTCTTGAGAGCACAAGCTGCCCGGCTTTGGATTGCCCTGAGTCTCATCAGATTGCCTTGTCTCATAGCTGTTGCAAGGTTTGCAAAGGTAAGACTTCTATAAATAATGCCACTCACATAAACAACATAGATGGAACTGGAGGACATTATGTTAAATGAAATAAGTCAGGGACACAAAGGCACATACCACACATTTGCAGTTTTATATAGAAACTAAAAGTTAATATCAAAGTGGAGAATAGAGCAGTGGTTAACAGAGCCTAGAATGGAAGATGGGGAGAGACTGTTACAGGATCGGGTGCATTTGGATAGTGGATCTAAGTTCTAAGGCATGATGAGGTTGGTTGGCAATTGGATATTTTTTAATTGCTAAAGGAAAGGATTTTGAGTGTTCCCAGCACAAAGAAATGGAATGTGTCTGAGATGACACCCCAATTACCCTAATCCAATCATTATACATTGTATGCATCTACTAAAACGCCACAGTGCATCCCATAAATATGCACAATTAGTATGTGCCAATTAAAAGCAAAAATGTACTAAAAGATTTATGTGTAAGAGTCATTGTAGGAGGCTAGTATAAGAAATGAAAGAACATTTTATGAATGGACTATTTTCAAAGACTAATGCTATTCACCTAAGTGCATTTGAAATTTGCTATGAAATTTGCTACATGGTAGGTAGCCATGATCTATTTGCTGAAAAAAATGAAAACTAAGATACTTGAAGTCATTTTTACTATGTGTCTGAACCTGTCTCAAGCTTTGGATCTCTGAATCCTGCTTTGCTAAAGAAAGTTACACAGCAGTTCTGACTTAGTTATCTTACTCTTAGGTCTGTTTTCAATTTCCTTAGTTTGTTTCTGTAACTGACCTACAATACTTTACAGTATGACTACTTCAGACCGCTCATCAATTCCACTCTCCAACCATTCGCTTCTTGACTCCAGAGAATGCATAAATGTGCTTTGCTTCCGAGATAAGCCTAGAACCAATATGGAGCTGGTTCTAAAGTTGTAATTCAATATAAGGGAACACCATAGCTAGTCATGAATGTGATGGACTACCTCAGCAATTTCCCTTAATAAAGGTTCTTAAACTTGGTATCTTATTGGAGATTCAGGCATTAAATAAACATTATATGAGACTCTTGATCCATGGCAACTTTGAAATTATAGGCACTGTCCTGTATTCACTTGAGGTTCACATTTGTGAGTCTATGGCCCACAGGAGACGAGGCACCTGAGGGAAGCCTGAGGCTCTTTGCCTTTCTGTGCTCCTTAGTGCTGGATGGTACCGGGAATGCACTTGGTGTTCATACCAGTGTGCTTGAAATATCTGATGAGCCGGAGGGACTGTTAGCCCATGCTGAGAAACGCCCTCTATGCTGGGTAAACTACAGCTTACAGAGAATGTGAAGACACGTTTTGTAAAACTTAGACCATTTGGTTTAAGCTACTCTATGAAAAGCAGGTTAAGATCACCCCCCACTCTCAATCTTAGCAGCGGTGTTACATTTTGTTTTCATTTTCAATTGTTCTGTTCATTCATTTCCATTTATTCAGTGAAAGGTTTTAGATATTTTTACATTTTATTAGTGTGCATGAATGCAAATCTAATGGTTCATCCCCCCACCGAAAGGAATATATGGACCCCAACAAGTAAACAGGCTTTCATGCTGTCTAACTAGGAGCTCAGGTTTGCCCCAGTGCCTCCTGAGGTGATCATTTTCAGGCTGGATGTATTATTCCCAGGCAGACCACTGGCATTCCATACACATCTCATGATACGTAGTTAGAAGAAAAGCTTAATATCTTCATGAGTTATGTACAAGTCCCAGAGCTGAACTTCAATGGCCTTCATTACTTTACATTGAAGAAATTATTCTGTCAGGTGAGTGGAATGCAGTAACTGATGTGGCTTTATCCTGAATGGAGGTGGAATCCATTTTCCTAAAAGCACCTGGACAAAAAGTAGGAGGGAGGGAGCTAGAGAGATGGCTCAGGGGTTAAAGGCACTGGCTGCTCTTGCAGAGGACCTGGGTTTGATTCCCAGCACTCACATGGCAGCTCACAACTATACACAACTCCAGTTTCAGGGATCAGATGCCCTCTTCTGACCTCCATGGGCATTGCATGACATGGGTGCACTTACACGCATGCAATATACTCACACAAAATAAAATAAAATAAAATAAAATAAAAAGCAACACTTACTAAAAAAAAAAGTTAGGAGGGAGTGCTTCTTCCCAAGTATAACCAGGTCTCCCACCAGCAGATAGCAGTAGGTGCTTGGTATTTATTGTCATACCAAAAAATACTCACAAAATCATTGAATTCTTTCTCCTGATACATGTAAAACATTCTTGTTGTTTGTAGCCTCCTTTTCTGCCTAACGTGGACAGATGCATTTTTATATTTTATAAGAAAGTTTGAAGTTCTCAGGAAAATGGAGCGTCATGCGCGTTTGTAAAGGTAGAGAGAGCGAATGTGAGGCTAAAATCTAAAGGAAGAAACAAAGGAAGACTAGGTTATGTTAGACATGACATTCATCTGTAACAAATATTTGGACTTATTCTATGATTTAAATACTCATGTATTTGCTTTTAGATTAGTAGTAATAGTATAATTGCTTTACTTATTAACAAATATTACACTATATGCTTCTGCATAGGTGATCTCATTTGAGTCTTATATTTTGGCAACTTAGATATTATCCTAACTTTAGAGGTTACAAAAACTAATGGCTGAGAAATTCATACAGCTAGGAACTTACACAGACCAGCAGTGGCAGATGAAATGTAAACCAGGGTTTGCCGCTTCAAAAGCTAGGCACATGTGACTCCACACCCAGTGATTTAGAATATAGACTACGTGACAACTGTGTAGAGATTTGACGCAGATCTCTGCAGATTAGAAATAACTCTCCCATTGCTTTGGAACCCCACACCATTAGTGGAAAACCTGACCCTGAGATTTTAGTATATAGGGAGTCAAATACCCAGTGGAGCCAATGATCTGTGTGTGTGTGTGTGTGTGTGTGTGTGTGTGTGTGTGTGTGTAAAGAACAAATTAAAATAGATGTTGGATATTGTTTATAATAGAGTTTGACTGATTGGAATGTGTAGTTTCAGATCTTTGGATTAGTAAACAACCTAAACAGTTCCTGTACCTAAAACGGAGAAAGGAGGACCACACTCCTGTTCCTTCTGGAAAATTCTTGAGGCAATTAAGCACCAGCTGTGCATAGCATGATCAGAAACCAGCTGTGTGTATAACATGATGTCTGAGGCAGGAATGAACATGGAGTGCATTGAGTATCCAAGATCCTCAGTAACACAGGGAGGATTCTTTAAAACAAGAAATCAAGTCAAAAGTTGATGTTTTTGAAAACTACAAACTCATGAAAACAGAAAGAAAAAGCATCAGAAATAATTCCTACCTTCTTTTTTATTGAGTATTTTCTAATTTCATACAATATATTTACTGGTACAGTAGTGGCACTTTTATCTTGGGGGTAATCAACAGCTGTCTAATTGGACTTAAGGCCTGCTCAATAGGAAAGCACTCATGTGTGGTACTGTAAACATAGTCAAATACACATGGGTATTGGGGTCATAGAAAAAACCCTACTTTTCTCATACCCTACTTTTCTCACACCCTAGAACAAGGTATGAAGTCCTACATCCTTAGCCACAGCCCTCTAAAACCTATTTGAAACATTATAGACAAAATCAAACAGATTTAGTAAGACATTAGCACTTCATCTCTTAATTTTCTGCACACTTTAAAAATGGAATCATTTTTAATATTAACTTTCAATTAACTTAGGATAGCTATGAAGGGATGGTTTTTTTTTAAAGCTTTTTAACTTTAGTTTGATGATGTGCTGAGCTATTGGGATAGATAGTAGAGATGGTTTTTTTTGGTGAAATTGTTTCCCTTCAGGCATTATAAAAAGATAATGAAATGCATTTTAAGAAATATGATCTTAACTTACTTATAAAGGAAGGCAATAAAATGACCCTGAGAGAAAGTGTGTTCAAAATTTTCCTCTCAAGAATTTTGGTTGTAATTCACCTTAATCCTGAGAAGTTATATTATTAAGAGGGAAGTTCAGGTTTTAAATGATTTAAAGGGGATTGTTGACTATAGTTTTTGTGTTTATTTAATTTTTGTAGAATTCACTCATCTATTTGATATTTTTCAGGCTCTTTTTAATGATGTTTCAGGAGCATTAGACTTCCTAATGATTACTACATTGTACCAATAGTGTTTTTCTGCATGTCACAGTTGCATTTAGTTTGATCTCTGAGAATATTCAATACTATAGGCACAGAGTTATCAAAATGTGCTCAATTCATGATCATGGCCACCAGCTTGATTGCAATAGGATGAGCCAATTTAGATCTTCAAGTAAAAGTCTTTTCTTGGCTGTATAGAGACAAGTTTCTTTCAAGCTGTATAAAATATATCCTTGCCCTCTCCTATGTGAGCTGAAATACTACTTCATTAGTCGGCATGAAGCTGGGTAGATAATCTTTAAATTGCCTAATGCATAACTTATGTGTTGAATGACGTAACCATGTAATTTCCATTAAATATGGATTCCACTGTTCAAGACGTTCACTTCATATTAGATGATATTCGAACAAAGTTCAGACAGGAGAAATCCTGAGGGCTGAATCCGAATGGTGTCACTGTTTAGGAAAGCTCCTTCTCCCTTTCTTAGCCTGAAGATGGGATCTGTGAAATTTCTGTAATTCATAAAAATTCCCTTTTGAGTGGTTATAGTTTGCTGTGCACATCTTCAGAGAAAATTAGATTAAAGTGATGTAATTTTCATTTTGAACACTTTTACAGAAAAAATTTCAAGCTCCTAAGCTGTCTATCTCGTTTCTTAAATATCCAATGAGCACATTTGCTCTGGTTTGTTGGGCATTCAGTATTCAATTTAATCACAAAGAATCCTCTTCAAACATAGATCTATAGTCAGAATATTAAGGATTGGGTAGCATTTATAAAATTTTAAAAAAGGATCTAGAGAATGCATTCGAAGTAGGGGCTAATTGAGTCGACCTAAGGGCCATTTGCAGTCATAAACTCAGCTGTGTGGCCTACTGCACAGGAGGCCTGTCGGCAGCTGTGGGTGGAGGAAGGTCCCAGAGGACCACTCCTCACCGTTGGACTGTTTGGTGCTGATAGATTCAGGAGAGAGGGAGTCACAGGCTTCAGATGTATATCCACTGGTGACCCCACCAGGCTCCAAGGGACACTCCCGATCCAATCGTCACACAAATGGCCCTGGTTCACAAAATCAAACCAAAACTCATGAATCTGAGAAAGGGACTGGTGGTGGTGGTGGTGGGTGGAGAGGAAAGAGCAATCAGAACAGATTGTTACCTGTGTGCAATTGTCAATTAACAAATGTGACACAAGTCTTAGGGAACATAGCCTCGACATGAAAGGAAACTGAAGTGGTTTGTCTGGTCAGTCTCGTTCACTTGAGTCACCTTCCCTTGTAGGCTATGACTTCTGCTCGGAGAGGCACACTTGCATGGAGAATTCTGTCTGCAGGAATCTGAACGACAGGGCTGTGTGCAGCTGCCGGGATGGTTTCAAGGCTCTCCGGGAGGACAATGCCTACTGTGAAGGTAATCCTTCTAATGAGGTGTAGCTCGGCTGTATAAATTTACCAGGATTACTGCATGCAAAATTTATTAATTTCCCAGGTTGTCAAGTTGATGGGCCCATTAAAAGCAGTGAATTTAATTTGAAGCATATTAATCAGCTAAAAATAATTATCTTTCAAATTAAAGTTTTCCAGCTATCTACTATATGTCAGACTAATAAGTTAATGTGGCTGGTTTCTTGAATTAGAATGATAGTTCAGTGTGAAATTGCCTTCTTTTTTCATAATTAGACATTCAGATAGCTCACATATTGACATGATTACTGTGCCCTGCAGTTAGAATTATAGTAGGGTTTTTTCAAGACGATGTTGTGTAACAAAGGCAATCCATTAACAGGAAGATAAAGTGTCTGCTGCTACTTCTGTTTGCTGCTATAAGTAATCTCAGTGGTAATCTCCACGCATGGTGGTACTTAGTAAATAGATCCAGTAGAGAAAATCATTTCTTAGTTACTTAAAAAATTTCAACAAATATCCAAGGTAGTTTATTATCAATTTGTTCAATCCAAATACAGCGAGAGACTGGAGAGGCAGGAGAGATGGCTAGGTGGTTAAGAGCACTGGTTGCTCTTGCAGAGGACCTGAGTTCAGTTCCCAACACCCACGTCATGGCTAACCATCTGTAACTCCAGTTCCAGGGAATCTGATGCCATCTTCTGGCCTCTGGGCATCGCATGCATGGGTGCACTTACGTACACGCAGACAAAACACTCATACACAAAATAAATTTTAAAAAGGCTACTTTTCAGTTCATCTTTTGTGGCCAGTGAAGAATGCCCGAGACCTATTACTTTATAAACAATAGAGGTCTATTTGCCCTGCATTGCTGGGAGCTGTGAAGTCCAGGAGTGTGGTACTGCTGCCTCTGTCTGGTGAGGGATTTCCTACTACTTCCTAACACAGCAGATGATGTCAAATGCTGGGACAGCATGCTCACTTTACTCTGCTGTGTAAAAAGGCACTGCTGCACTGCCCTCATGACTTCTCTAGTACCTGCCAAAGGCCCCAGCTCCTGGTATCATTTACTTGTGTGTTTAGAGACTGAATTTTCAGCGCATGAACTTTGGGGGGACATAGTCAAACCATATCAGCTTCAGAGAGATCAGGAAAAATCCAGAAAAACTGAAAGGTACTCTTTGTATTGAGCACAACAGATGAGACTGGAGACATCAGCAGTAGTGACTTACAGAAAGCTGATGATAGAGCCAGCTGGTAGTGCACCGAAGGGTGTATGGACACAAGGGACCCCAAGGAAGGCAGAGACCTTCTATATATGTGCCTATGAAGAAAGAGAAGGTGGGGGGAGGAAAGAGAGGGGAGGGGGAGAGGAAGTGGATTCAAAGGAGTTTACTACCCACCCACCACTTTTGTCCTTTTAGATTATGTTCCTTTCTTCTACCACAAGTTTAACCATGCAGATGATTCTTTTTCTTAAATAAGTTTTACAGTTACTGGAATTTTTACAAATTTTTTTTTTAAAGTAGGGGTTTTATGACCTCACAGCATGTCCAGCTTTTAGACATAAGAGATCTAAAATATCTGGAAATAACTTGTTATTTTAGTCTCTTGTAAACTATGCAACATATTTCTCTTTTTGAAAGTGTGTTTATCTCCATTCTGTGTTCCTTGTCTCCTGTAAATCTCACTTAGCCACCTCACAGTACAGTCTCTAAAAGCTGTCTGAAATTAGATCAAGGATCACGTTTTCTGAATGGTTCTTCACTACATGTCTGTTTCCACTTTAAAAAGAAAATTGTGTGATCTTTGATGCTTTGTTCTAGCTTCCTTATCTTCACGATTAACTATCATGTGAAGGTCATCTTGGCAATGTCTCAGTGTCTTCTGGGCTCACTAAGTTTGTCTTCAGAACTGTGGCTCCTAGAAATTGCAGATTTGTCAGCCAAAAGGAGGTTATAATGCAGATCCCTAACTTTAGAGTCTCTGGTATTTTTCTGTCCAGGCTTTTGATAGTGTACTAAGAACAGCAAAGCACTTGATGTAAAAGAATCATTTACATAATTTCATGTCACATATTATAGAAATGGGTAAGTGATGACTTACTGATGAATTTACATGCACATGGGTGTACTGCACATGGGGCCCAGAGGCAGAACTCAGGTAAGGTCCTTTAATCACTCTCCACCTTTGTATTTTGAAGCAGTTTCTCAATGAACCTGAAGCTCATGGATTTGGCTGGGGTAGAAATCCAATAAGCTTCAGGGATGTGCCTGTCTCTGCCTCCCCTAACCTTAGCACTGGGGTTGCAGGCACACACCACTGTACTTAGCTTTTAACGTGTGTTCTAGAGATTCAGAACTCAAGTCCTTATGCTTGTGAAGCAGGCAGTTTATTAGCTAAACCATTTCCCCAGCCTCTGGATGTCGGCTTTTACCTCATTGGACCTGCTCTTTAGTCATTCTCTTCCCCCTTGTCTCTGTCTAGCCAGGACTCATTCTCCTAATTTATGTTCTCAAAATACCATTTTTTAAAACCATGTAAAGCTTGAACTTCTTTGTCAAGACTTCCAAGGCTCTGTGTCATCTGGTTTTACAGCTGTTCATCCATCAGTCCTTAGCAAATCACCCTCAGCTCTTAGGATTTTGCTAAAGACCAATGGTTTATCTGTATTGTGGATTGAATTATGTCCTCATAAAATTCAAACATTGTATTTTAACCCCAAGTACCCCAGAATGTGATCTTATTTGGAAATACAAATCTTAAAGACAAGTTCTTCATAATTTTTTCCACTTATATGTTTATGAATGTTTTGCTTGAATGTATGTACGTGCACCATGTGTGTGCAATGCCCACAGAGGTCAGAAGATGGCATCAGATTCCCCAGAACTGGAGTTATAGATGGTTGTTAGTCGCCATGTGGGTGCTAGGAACAGAACCTGGGTCCTCTATAACAGCAGCCAGTATTCTTAACTGCTGGTCCATCTCTCCATCCCTTACAAGTTAAGTTCTTAGTAAAAATGAAGTCATAGTAGAGGGAGACCCTTCCCAGTATGATGGCTGGCCCTAAAAGAGGAAATTTTGGACAGACACATAGGGTGAGTGGCATTTGAACACAAGGTAGAGGTCTGGGTGATGTGGCTATAGCCATGCCCGTCATAGCTAGATGGAGACCTGCAGCCCTCACAAAGACCAACTTAAGTGGTATTAATCAGCCCCTTAATTCCCAACTCTTGGCCTCCAGAACTGTGAGGTGGAAAGTTCCTGTGCTTAAGCTTACACTCAGCTGATGGAACCTTTCTAGGTTAGCTCAGAAATTGAATACACTCTGACAGAAATACCTTTTGCTAATCGTGATCAAAGACTTAATCATGCTTCTGGGCTCTACATGATTTTAATCTTTTGGAAGATTTCTGGGATTTAGTACATCTAGACTTAATTTCTCAAATCCTTTCATTTTATCAGATGGAACAATTAGTACCATGCTTGGTGCTGGTTTATAGCCAACTGTCTGATTATAGATGATTATACACCGTGCTCCTGACTAAGGGATTCAGATATGTGTCCGTATTTATTTTTCCCAACGGTAATGTTAACTGTTTGTGGTCTTAGACTGTTCATTTTCTTTGCGGTCTCCTGAATTTCTAAAATAGAAGTAAAATCTATTGAGAAATAGGCAATGGGCCAGTGGGGGCAGGGACTGAGTGTGAGCAGTGGTTGAGAACCATCAAAGTACCGACCATGAATGCATGGAAATGGAAGCGTGTTTTGTAATTAAGGTGGGACAGTAAAAGGAAATATGGTTTATTGGCAGCCTTAAGTGTTTAGGGTGAACACGGCACTTTTCGCCATCTCTTCACTGAGGCTCAAGTCAGGAGAAGCACTGAACTTGCTTCTTATATCGTATATAAGAAAGCCCAGTCATGATGCTGATTTTTGTAGCTAGAAAGGGATTTAATTTTTACGCATTTTGAAAGAAAATGAATTGTGTATTTGTAACATTGTTAATGTATTCAATTACATGTGACTGATAAATTACGTGCATATCAAAAGTTCAAAGTTTTCTTATCTCACCATTGCGCCTACTGAGCAGTTTACATGACCTAAGATTTTAATTCTCTCTACAATTGCAAACCAACTGGGACATGGACTGTCTAGGATGTGGGCGGTACCTAAGTGCTATGAATCTGCAGTTAGGCATCTTACTGTTTAATACCTGCTATTGCTCAGACATAGCACTCTCAAACAAACTGGACATTTAAACAACCAATCCAAATATCATTTCCCCTTCACATCATAAAATAGAATGCACTGTCTTCTGTCATTTTTGTGTTTTAGTATCAGGCTATGACTCATGAGCAAGGCTCTAGCATATGTGCATGGTGATGTGACCGCACTGCACTGAGAAGGACCTGCTTCATTTTATGCTGCAGTGTATTTTCTCCCCTGCTGCAGGTTGTCCATGGGCCACATTAAAAAGCAATCGCATCTCCTAATAGCTATGTCTTTTGGAAGCATTTAAACACCTTTCAGATGCGTCATTTTATTTAATCTGAAAATTCCTTGGTACAAACATTCTTTATTATGGCTTAGGAAACTGAAGAGCTTATGATACTAGGGAGAAAAAGTGTCCCGTAGAGGGTTCTTTGTCTCATTCATAAAAGCGTTTAAGAATGAACCAAAATGGAAGCTTTAGGTCAATTTTTTTTAATTTTAAGGAAAAATCTTCAGGGCAGGCAAGTTGGAAATCTCAGCAGCTACCTTGAGAATGGAAAGAAAGAGGGAAAAAAAGTCCACGAAGCCATGCAGAGTTAGAGCCTGCACGGAGGTCAGACAGGAGGAAGGCTGCCAGCCACATGGTGGGGAGAGGAAAGCTTTAGAGAAAAGTAAAGTACAAGATGCTAGAGCATCCCAAAGTGTTAAAGAAAGCGTGTTTAGGAGAGGGATATGAAGAAAAGGAGAGAAATTACGCTTTTTTGAAGAATTCAGAAAAGCAGACAGACTTAG